CTTTTATCATATATATATATATATAGGATACAAGATATAAAAACCCGGAACACATTACATTAAAAATAAAGAAAATGCACATTAAATGGGAAGCTAAAAAGTTTGTGAAAAAGGAAAACATGACAGCATTTTTTGCGGATGCCTTATTTACCGTAGCATTTAGCTTACTCTGCAAACACATCAAGATCGATATAGGCAGAAAGCAAAGATAGAGGTTCCAGCCGTGAAGGAGGGGTTGAGAGATCCAAACCCAACCCTGTACCCATTTCCGAGGTAAATGTGTCCATTACTCACTGACATGCCACCATAGACGGTAACACTGTGTTATTTGCCCATATAACAGTTCGGATATCTATTGCGTAAATGGGTCCTTTAGGATTGGTTGAACCACCAAAGAGCAAAGAGGACACCATTGGCCACTGTAACAAGAACAGCAGCAGTGCCATTGTCTGGATTAGCTATTGACCAGAGGATCTTCCCGGTCTCAGCCAAGGTTTTTAAAACCGGACCGGTCATTGAACCATTTTTAGGTTTGGTTTTTGATTTGACCAGTTCAACCGGTTCAATTGGTGAACCGGCCGATTCAAATAACAAGAGAAATTTGATGAGAGGGATAGGTAATTTTGTAATTTCATTAAAATTAAGGGTTAAAATCGGTATAAAAAAAGAATGGTGAGGGTGAAATTGGAAAAACTAAAAAGAAAATTGCATGAGAAATTGAACCGGTGGTTTTTCTGGTTCTACTGGTTCCATCGGTTTTGACCGGTTTTGATCGGTTTTGAATGGTTTTGATCGGTTTTGAATGGTTTTGATCGGTTTTGAATGGTTTTGATCGATTTTAACCAGTTTTGACCGATTTTGACCTCAAACGATTTTTTTATATGAACCGAGCCGTTTTCATTACCGAATATCGGTCTGACCGGTTCAACCGGCCGATCCGGTCCGATTTTAAAAACCTTGGTCTCAGCATCCATTGCCAACCATCCACCAGCGGTTGTGTTCTTTGCTGATCGCTTGAGAGAAATTCTTGTGGTTGGAGTTGACAATGTTAGTGTACACCCTTCTTTCATCCGTGGCAGCTCCCCATGTTCCTCCCCCAACGACTCCTCCAGGTCCAGCTTCCTGCACCACTCCATTGACAAAATGACTTAGTTAAACTTAAAGATTGTTGCATGCAAAGAACCACACATTATAACCCCCTATCTGATGGTACCATTTGATCTTTCCAGCATCCAAATCAAGGGCAAGGATTGATTCTGAGTGGTTATCAGGCTCAACACACTCATCCGGATGAGTTGGTGCTGTCTGGTTGTTCTCCCTTTCCTGGCATTTTCTGATATTTTCAGGTACAGAGTACAGGTTTCCCGTAGCAATGTAGACAACATTTCGGTGAATATCGATTGGAGGGCTACTTCCCCATACGGATGCTCCGGCATATCCTCCGGTCTTGCCAAAATTGTTGGGCAACATGAAGGTTTGCCATAAGATTTTACCAGACCGGGCATCTAATTTAGTGAAGCTTCCCCGGAATGTACAGCATTGTCGAATGCTTACTTCTTCCTCTAAAGAAGACGTACCGACATAGAAATAACTGGGGAGGATAAATTTAATGCAAAACACATTGAGCAAGACAGTATACAGTTCAACAA